AGGAACTGGTCGCAATGATCGGTGTATCACACACACACACACACACACACACACACACACACGGCAATGAACAACAGAAACATGGGTAAAGGGAGACACCGGGCAGTGTAAGATATGAAAATAATAATTTCTAATTTATTAAGGGTTCATGAGGGTGGCAGGATGGAGGACAGAGGGGGACAAAGACCTGATACCAAGGGCTCAAGTAGAAAGACAATGTTTTGAAAAGGATGATGGCAACATATGTACAAATGTGCTTGACACGTGAATGTATGGATTGTGATAAGAGCTGTAAGAACCCCCAATAAAATAAAAAGAATGGGCAAAGAACATGGAGAGACAATTCACCAGAGATGGCATTGAAATGGCTAGCCCACATGAAAAACATGCTCATGACCACTAGCCACCTGGGAGATGTAAATGAGAACAATGGTGAAGTACCATCTCACGCTGACAACGGCAACCCCATTCCAAAAACAGGAAACAACCAATGCTGACGAGCGTGCAGAGATTGGAACTCTCATCCGCTGCTGGCAGATCTGTGAACACGCACACCACCGTGGAAAGCAATATGGCGCTACCTCTAACAACCGGGAATAGAAATTCCCTATGAGCCCCAGTAGCTGCTGGATGAAAGTCCTAAAGAAGAGCCAGAACACGAACAGGCATCTGCACTCCCGTGTTCATCGCAGCACTGTTCACAATAGCCAAGAAGCTGGACACAGCCCAAGTGCCCATCAGAAAAACAGATAAAGAAATGTTGGTACATACATGCATAGAATACCAGGCACGCTAAAAAAATAATAATATAGTTGAAATCATGAAACGCCTCATGATATGGATGAACCTGGAATACATTATGCCGAGTGAAGCTCATCGATCATAAAAGGACAAATATCGTATGAGACCACTGCTCTAAGGATTAATACCCCCACCATGACAAAGACTTGCATCCCACAGGGAACAGGCTTTGGAGATTCCCAAGGGAGGGGAGGGCAGTCTGGGACGATGAAGCAAAGGACTGGAAGGCTGACTGGTATTGACTTGGGTGGCAGGGAGGACAGAGGTCCTGAAGTGAGAAGAAATCAATCAGGGGTGTGGGGGTGGGACAGAATAGGGGTGGGGGCTTGATGAGTGGTTTCACCTGTTGGCTGCAGAGTTGCTGGTCTGAAATATAAGCCCCCTACATAATTCACAATAAAAAATTCATTTAAAAATAAAAACAAAAGGCATCATATGCTATGGAATCGTGTCAGCTAGAAAGACAGTACTCACAATGTCAGTTGTGTAGGTGCCTTAGAACTGACAGCCCTTTCCTTGTGGGGATGGGGTCACTGGACGCCAGAGGGTCAGGCAGTCTTGCAGGGAGTTTGTGATTCATATTCAGGACTAGACCCACACGTCTCCGGTTCCCAGAACAGCTCGGTTTCTGCACACCCACTGACCAGAAAGGGAGCTTCTAACTCAAATGCTACATGGCTTGTTCCGTTAAGAACATTGGTGAATGGGGCCTGTGGCATGGGGTAGATGGAAGAGCCCTCTCTGGAAGTGGAAAAGAACCCCCAAGGGCCCCTCCCCCAGATCTAAACCCACCTCTGCATAGCCCAAAGCAGTCTCAGGAATGTCAAACCCTGGAGGGGGTGGTTTCTGGGGTTGGGTATCTGTGTATTTAAGTGAGGAATGTTAGCAATAATTAAAGTGAGTTACCAAAAAACCAAACTCACTGCCACAGAGTGATGCCAATCATAGAGACCGGCCCTATGGGACAGGGTAGAACTGCCCCCCTATGAGTTTCCGAGGTTATAACCCTTTACAGGAGTAGAAAGCCTCATCTTTCTCCTGTGGAGCCACTGGTGGTTTCAACCCTCTGACCTTTCAGGTTAGCAGCTCGTAACCACTACACCACCATATCCTTAAAATGAGATCATTCTGATCAAATCCCTGGGTTTGAGTGAAATGACACAAGGTAATCCTGGTAGCTTTTGGAAAGAAGTCAGTAAGTGATCAGTCTTCGATCCCAGCTTCTCTCCCTCAGCCTATTTATTTTTGGTTCTCTCTACCCACACCCCAAACCGCTAGATGAAACACTAAGATGAGGGACATTCAGCACCTTTAAGCAAATTAAATCATTTTATACCCCCAATCTCACTCTTCCCCCACAGGGCGGGGCATGTCCCACAGAGGCTAAAGGTATGGTCTCTAGAGTCAGACAGACCCAGGCGTCAATCACAGCCGGGACCCTTCAGCCTGGGCAGCTCTGCCCCTCAGTGTCCTCGTCAGTCACTTGAAGGCCATTCGCTGCCTTGAGGTCAGCTCCCAGCTTACAATATAAGACCTCTTGGGTCCGAAAGGTTTTCACTCGCCAAGCCTTTTTGTCTAGTCTGCTTTGGTCTGGACCTGTTCAGTACCACAGCAGCAAGCAACCCCCACTGACAGACAGTCCTCGGGCCTCCCTCGGGGAAGGTGAGAATGTTAGCGCTGGACCACCATTGGCACACTCCACCCCATCCTTTCCGCAGGGTGAAAAAACAAAACCTGAACCAGGGACGGAGTAGAACTGCTCCCCAGGGTGTCTGAGGCTGTGAAGTTTTGTTGAAGCACACAACCTCCTCTTTCTCACACGGAGCGGAGCTGCGGATCGGTTCCGACGGACCCTCCCTCCCTTTTTGGTTAGCAGCCGGGCACTGAACCCACCAGGACTCCTGTCTTCTCACAGTGAAAATAGCTCTCACTCTCACTGAGTCGATTCTGACTTAAAGTAAAGTGAGTGTATTTCCAAGACGGTCGCTCTTTATGGGAGCAGAAAACCCCATCTTTAGGCCGCAGAGCGGCTGGAGAATTAAATACCACCAGGCCTGAGCTACAGCGAATGCTCATGGGAAGAAGGCAGCGAAGGTCATCATGATCCACCCTTTTGTATATTTTTCTGTATACGGATCCAGGAGAGGTAAATCTACAGATGAGTCGTTTCCTAGGAACATGGCAGGGGTTGGCGGGAAATGCGGAGCTAACAAGGAGAACAAGGAAATAGAAATATCCTGAAATTGATTGTGGTGATGATTACGCAACTCTTGAATATGATTCAGCTACTGAAATGTATGATATGTGGGTTATTTGTTAAGAAAAACTCAATGCCATTGAGTGGATGCTGACGCATAACGACCCTATAGGACAGGGTAGAACTGCCCCTGTGAGTTTCTGAGACTGTAACTCTTTTGAGGAGTAGAAAGCTCCCATTTTCTCCCAAAGAGCAGCTGGTGGTTTCAAACTGCTGACCTTGGAGACTGAAAGCCAATGCGGAACCACTATACCACAGGGGCTCTTTTATGTTAATAAACTTTTTTTTTAAGAAAGTTAACTGAAGCTGAAAAAATATCTATACATATAGCATAGTGGATTTACAGCCAGGAACTTTAAAATGTCACCTCAAACTTGTTCTCTTATAAATCATTTGACAAAATAGAACCAACCCCGAAAGATGGAGTTAAAAGAATAAATGAAGAATAAGAAGCTCAAAGAAAAATGAATTATGATAACCTTACCAAGTAGGCCGCTCCTGTCCAATGAGGACCCGAAGAGGCTGTCCCAGTAAAACAAGGGACCAAGATCTCCCAGAGTGCTCTGTCGTCGTGGCAGAGCCACGTCTAGAAGGCCTTCTTCCTGCCCCTCTCCCTGAGCCCCTCCCTGAGTGTTTTCCTGTTTTCTTCTTTCTCCCTCCCAGCTCTTCCCCCCAGGGTCCCTTGGGCGGCCTGTGACTCTCTGGTTTCCAGGGCACCACTATAGGCGAGGAGAGGGCAAGGCGATGCTGGGGGAAATTCCCAGGCTCCCAGGCTAGTGGCCTTGCCAGGCCCTCCCCTGGCTCCCTCTGAGGAGCCCTGGGCCACCCTGGCTCCAGCTCTGGCCTCCCAGACCCCAGATGGGGGTGTCACATCTGGGTCTGGTCTGGGTCTGGTTCCCAAAATGTCCCTTGTCATCACAGAAGTCAGCCAGCCCGGCACAGTCGCTGTGTGAGGCCCACCCAAAGGCTGCGGAGCATTTCCGAATTTCCTAATGTTGGGAAGTCCTTCCAGGGCCCTGAGAGAAATCCTTTCCACCCCCTCCCTGTTCTCTCCGGGAATTTGTTCCCAGGCACCCCTCCTCTGGGGCCCCTCCTGCTCTCCCTCCATCTCCAGCCCAGAAGCCACAGGCTTGGCCTCCACTTCTCAGCCCTCTTAGCCAGGGACTTCCCTGGGCAGGCCCTGTGACCAGCTTTGGGATCAGAGAAGGCTGCCTGTCTCTTGCCCACTTCCGAGGCCTCGGGCCCACTGTTCAAGATTCAGCCTCCACCAAGGCCAGCCCAGCGCCGGCCACAGGGGTACAGCCGTGGGAGGGGCTGGTAAGCTCCAGAGGAGAAGGAAGGTCCCCGAGAGGGGTTGCGCCAGGCTCTCACCTGTTTTCTTCCGGTCTACCTTTAGCCCTCCTAAGTGCACAACATACACCCACACCTCAAAAACTCACACACACACATATTCACATACTAACCCAGACGCTTACACGCCCACACGTTTTACACAGACACATCAACATGCTCACAAATGTATTCTCAGATATATACACACACACACTGACACAGGCACACAGACACAGACAGGCTTTCTCTCACGGGCACATCCACGGTGAAACCGGTGAACCTCTGCTTTTTTCCTAAGGGAAGGGTACGACAAAAATAGACCCTACTCTTCCCTCTGGAGGAGTCAGCTGCCCCTGGAGAGAGAGAGGTTGGCGGAGAAGGCAGGGCAGAAAGAGGACTAGAGAGAAGACAGGAGACCGAGGCCAGGCGGGCGAGGAGAGGCCCCCAGCTGAAGACCCGGGTGGGGGTGAGCAGCCTGGGCTAGGGAAGTAGCCACCACCATCACCACCACAGGGGCAACTAGGTGGCAGAAAGCGGGACACCCCTGTGCAGGGGACCCTTTCGCACTGTCCTGGCCCACCTGCCGGGCAGGCGGCTCCGCATCACTCACCTGGGGGAGGAAGGAGCGCAGCCAGGGTGTGTGCAGCCGGCAGGGCGGTTGTCCCTGTGAGGACTCCTGGGCTCTGCTCTGCTCGATGAGCTTCTGCAGGAAGGAGGGCTGGGCTGGGCTGCCTCTCAGGCAGGAGGGGAATTCCCCAAGATGCACGAGCCAGCCGCCAGGCAGCCCCACAAGGCCCAGCTGAGGCCCCATCCCACCCCTGGCAGGCCTGCTTTGTCAATCCCCCACCTGTCAGCTGGCAAACCAGCTGTCACTCACTTGAATCCAGGCAGGGAAGGACGCTCCAGGGAGCAGCTGTAAGCCGGAGGAGGCCTTGCTGGGCTAAGCACTGGCTTAGGGGCAGCGGCAACCAGCCGCCCCTGAGTTCTCCCAAGGACCTCCATTTCCTCTTTTGCCTCAGATGGGGGATTCCAGTCCACGGAGGCCGGAAGATACAGGCCCAGATGCCCAGGGCACATCTTCCTGTCCCCATCCCTCTCCCACCCCGTCCACAAATTCTGGTGGATTCTTCAAAGGAGAGGAGGAGCTCACTTCCTCCCTCTGCACCTGGACTCATTTGGAGGTGGACTGACGCCTTGGCAACCAATGGACCTGGAGCAGGTCCAGCTGTGTGCTTGACAGCTGGTAACCCTGAGTGACTCCCTTTGCCATCCTGAGCTTCCAAGATCCCGGCTATAAAACAAGGACAGAGTCCGTCCCGGCCTGATCCCTGCAATGGCAATGAATGGATGGGCTTCCCATGACCTTGGCAAACCACAGACTACTCTACAAACATGCGCAAGAGCCGGCTTCCAGGAGTTCTCGGGAAAATGAAACGGAAAGATCGTGGGACATCTTGGAGAGTATCTCTCAGAGCCTCAGTCGTAGGCCATTAAGGTGCCTGGGAAGGGGTTGGCATGGGCTGTGGGGAGGAGCTGGCTTCTCTTTAGCATCCTGGGTTCCAAGAGACCCTGCCTTCTTTTTCCCAGTCTGAATGATTCATTTCTGGTCTCCCAGACATGAGAAAAGTGTGATGCCAACCGGATTCTGCTGGCTTTGGGGTTGAAGAGGTTTTTACTGTGAATTAGGTGGGCGTTCCTTCATTCTTGGGGTTGCTAGGTGCCATCGGGTCAGTTCCAACCCAGAGCGACCCTGGAAGGAAGCAGGGCTGTGTGCTGCGCCGTCCTCACAAGCCTTCTGATGTTTGAGCCTGCCGTTGCAGGCGCGCTGTCAACCCATCTTGTGGGGGGAGCTTCCACTTTTTTGCTGCCCCTCTGCTTCACCACGCGTGCCGTCCTCCATTCTTCCAGCACAGGTTACAGACCACTGAGGGGACACAGGAGTCCCTCAGTAAAGCACTCACCTTCTAACCCAAGGATTGTTGGTTCATACCCACCAGGGGGCTCCTCCTCATGGATGCCCCACCGTTCTAGTCTACAGATGTGGGATCGCCATGACCCAGGACGGACTCAACAGCAACTAACAACAAGGAGGCTCCGGGAATGGATGAAGTCAGCCGCCTGCCCGACGGCCTTCCTCTCAGAGCGCCCACGCTGCCGGGCTGTGTGGTCTTCGGGGAGTAGCCCATAGTTACCGTGCGGCTCTGTAAATGTGATCCATGAATAACTCCATTCCTCCACCATGCTTGTCTTCTTTGAAGGGCCCGGAGATCCATGCGCCTGCCACCTTGGACAACACAGATAGAGCACTTTCTCAGCCTCACAGAAAGTTCTATGGGACAGCACTGCTCTGGGAGCTGTGGCCAAAGGGATATAGATCATCACCACCAAGTGTGGCCGGGATGTGCCTTGATGGGAGCATCCCAGGGGATGGTGGGGATTCTGGACAAGGGTATCTGGTCAACATCTGGGGATCCCCGAAGTCTTCCTGGAGGAAGCGGCCTCTCAGCTGAGATCCCTGAAAGCCTACAAAGGAAGGTTTTTCCCCCGCAAAGGGAAGAGAACATTCAGAAGAGAGAGTGCATTCTGAGAATTGAAAAGTGTTCACTCTGGGGGAACACGGGGGCGGAAGGCGCTGAGAGGGCAACCATAGAGGTGGGGCTGCAAAGAGAATCAGGGCCAGGTCCCCAGGGGCCACCTTCAGCCCTGTGAAGGGGAAGGTGTGCCCAGTGACTGTCACCTCCCTCAGGCACTTGTGTGCCCTTGGATTGGGATGACCTGGGAATGCTAGAGAGACCACCTGGCCCCCTGGCCTCACTTTACCGAAGCCAAGGTCCAGCAGGCGTGTGACTTCTCAAGTGAATAAACGCAGGGACTTCTGACTGAGCTCTGACCCTCAGTCACAACGGCCACTGCCCAAGCGCTCTGGAGCCACAGACGGCGTTTAATGTATCAGGCTGCAGGGATATTTCCATCATCTCCAGAAGTCCTGCTGGGTAAATGGAGCAAACCCTGAGCTAGACACGGAGCACAGCACAACCCACTTCTCTCCACAGCGAGTTAAAGCACTCCTTCCCACGGCTGCACGCCGGCACTCTCCCCTCTCCCCTCTGCTTCCAAGACCCAGAGCTGCACTCCACGCCTTTCTCCTCCCCAACAGCTCAGAAATAAGCCTTTGGAAAAGGGATGGGGGGCTCTGGTCAAGGAGAGAGACCTGGTCCCTGGCTCCCTTCAGGAAGCCTCTTAATGGCCTGGGACCGTTTCCTCAGTCTGCCAGTCTCTCATGAAGCACAGGGCTCTTCCTTCCTTGAGGAAGTACAGCTTCAGAAGCTTCATCAGCCTACTGGGAACTTCAGCCGCGATGTTCCAGAGTTACAATGGTCTTTCTAAGTGTGGCCTTTTCTCTTAACTCAGAGATCATGCACGTCACGGACCCACTGTGAGTTCAGGGTGCCTGGCTAGGACTGGCTCCTGCCCAAACTCTGAACCCCTGCCATGGAGCCAGTTCCTGTTCACAGATAGTGGAAGGACCTGGAAGGGTTAAGGAGGTTCAAGAAGTTGGACCAACCAGGTCTGGAATCTCCAGTCCAGAGTAGTACTTGGTGTGCATATCCTGGAAGATTAGCTCTGGGCTTTGGCTTCCCTAGTGAAGATGTCAAGAGCAATCAATCAGCCTCGTCTGCTTTCTTTTCTCCTCTTCCCTCTTCCATCTATGGGCCCTCTGAAATGGCCTTCCTGTCCAGGCCAGCTGATAGACACTAAGAAAGAAAAGCCACTGTGCCCTGCCTCATAGGAGTTTAGGATGCCTGACTTTGATTTATAGATTGGCAAAAAATATTCATATACCATGGGCTGCCAGCAGGACAAAGAAACCTGTGTTGGGACAAGGATAACCAGAATGCTCCTTAGAAGCGAGGCTAGAAAACTTAGTCTCACGGTGTTAGTTTGGGTAGACTAGAGAAACAAATCCAGAGACACTCATATGTGTGTAATAGAGAATTTTGTATCAAGGAGGAATTGTATATTAAGAAAATATTCCAGTCCAGTCCAGATCAAGTCCCTAAGTCCTATATTAGCTCATATATCCGATACCAATCTATAAATTCCTCTTCAGACTGACACAAAGCATGCAATGACGCCAAATGCAGGAAGATCACAGGCCAGTGGGTGCAAAGTCTAGTGGATCCAGTAGCGGTGGAAGCATCTCAGCACTAGCGTGGGTCTCCACGTGGATCCTCCAGCTCCAGGGATCTGGCTCCACCAGTGTAGCTCCATGTGGCTTGGCCGAGGAATGTGTAGCAGAGAGAGTAGGTCTGGTCTCCAGTGAGCCACTTATCTCCTTTGGGCCTCCAAATGAGGTCATCAAGCTGCCACCTGATTAACCAGCTAGACTCATCCCTTCGCAAGTTGACAAGAGTTTATGTAATAGCCACACTCACATACTTTGGACTGTTATCAATAAGGACCAGTCTCTGGGGAAAGACATCCTGCTCGGTAGAGAGTGAGACTAAAAGAGAACACCCTCCCACCCAATGAGATGGACTGCAAGTGAATGCAGCAATTAACTCAAGCATAACAAGGAGTGCAAGGGTGGTGCAGGGCCTGGCCATGTTTCACTGTATTGTACATCAGGGTGTATTAGGCAGCCAGATGCGGTGGCACCCAGTAACAAACACCACCACCTCTGTGTGACCCTGGACAAGTGCCTTCCCCTCTCGGATCCACAGCTTCTCCTTCTGTCATCAGAAGAGAACAGAACAGATGATCACCGAGGGACCGTCCGTTCTGATGCTGTAAGGAAGTCTGAAAGTTCAGAGGAAGAAGACATCAAGGTGCTCAGGAAATAATACTAATAGTTAATTTTGAAAGCTTACTATGTGTAGGCACCGTGCTAAATCCTCTTCAGTGCACTCTCTCACAGTCCTCATAAGAACCCTATACGATTGATAATGGCATTTAACAGATGAGGAAACTGAGGGTCATAGTGGTTCAAAACAATGGCTAAAAAGCGGCTCAGCTTGCGTTCAAATTCAGGTAATGCCTACGGTGCTCACCTGGATGAGGTCAGACCCATGTTGGACGTCAAAAAAAGGATGAAATTTGGATATGCCCAGGAAACTCTCAAAGGACAACTTCTTCGATTCTCAATTATCCCCTCTCCCCTGCACATGACTCCTGTACCCTAGTACTTCTAGATGGCTGTTGATGTTGTAGGATGGGGATTAGCCACTCATGGTTTCTTTAGTGAATGAATGAATTGAACTCTGTGGCTTTCTTGAATCACTAATTCGACTGACAGTTTCTCAATACTGTGGGTTTTCTTCAGATTGTATAAATAAATCTTTAGCTTTGTAATAAGTTTCCGTGGAGAGAAATAACTCTTTTGAAGAGGGATATCAATAATGGTTGAACGACACAAAGAGTATAATCAATGGCACTGAATTATATGTGTAGAAGTTGCTGAATTGGAGAATGTTTTGTTGTGTATATTTTTGCCAAATTTTTTAAATTACATGAATAACAATGAATACAAGGAAGAAGAAAATGTTCTAAGATGGACTGTGATAAAGATTGTACAGCTCATCTTGATATGATTGAACTATTGAATTGTGTGTTAAGTGGATAAAGTGCCAATAAAATTGTTAAAAAAAGAAAAGCAACAGTAGTACACACAC